TTATAAAGGAGGAGACAAAGCATTCTTGAATTAGGAACAGAACAGAAAAAACATAGGTTATGGGTAATAATTAACCTTGTCTCAAAAAATAATTAACCTTGTCTTTTTAGTAAAGAAGGTTTTAATGTGGGGAATGGAATTTGGGTTTGAGTCACCCCAACCTTGGCTGCTATGTTACCTCACACTGAGCCTCACAGCTTCACAGGGCATCTCTTTGGCCTCTGCCATGGCTGTTGGCAAGGGGGGTGATATTGGCCTACATGCTATCCACAATGACCCTATGAGTCATGTAGGCTTCAGTCAGACTCACTTCTTTAAACAAGCCAATCATAGGGTTGACTCTTTACAGCCTGCATTGCCTACAGCCTGCTTTGGGCATAATCAATGAGGCAGTCACCACCCCCACCCCCCAGAACCAAGGCAAGAAATGAGAAGAGAAGGCAACACAATGCCTCTGAAAACTTCCAGGTCCTCCCAAAGCTGATCCATGGGGGAGAAAAAACCCCTGAACTTCTGAATTATTCAAACTTATAAAAAGGGAGATTAAACAAAATGATTAATGAGTTTACAAAAGACATGAATACAATGCTAGCTGACATAAACAAAATGACACCAAAAGGAATGAGTGATTTAGTAAAGAATTAGAGTCCACAAAAAGGTAGTAAACAAAAAACCAAGAGATTACAGCACAAGTGATCACGAGGACAGAACATCAGAACTAGAAGACAGGGCTGATGCCAGTGACCAAGTACTAAGAGATACCTTATAACAGCTGAACATGGACAGCAGATCCAACAGCTGCTGGATAGTGCAGACAAGACTAATTGGAATTAGTGAAAAATTGCAAGACAGCGCAAATGGCATAAAACTCTGTTTATGGAAAAAAGAGCAGAAAACTTTGAGAATATGGGGAAAGAACTTAACCTACAGATAAGTGAGGCATATGAAACCCCAAGTAGCCACAGTCAGAAAAGAACTTCTCCACCACACATCATAGTCAATATCCAGGAAATCCAAGATAAGAACAGAATCTTAAAAGCTCTTAGAGAAAAGCAGTGAATCACTTATAAACATAAACCATTAGAATCACAGCAGACTTCTCAACACAAACCTGAAAGGCCAGGAGAGTACGGAGTGAAGTGTTTCAAGCCATAAAAGACCAC